TTGACTAGTTATCGACACAATTATCGAGACAACACAATTCACATTCGTATGGATCGTTCGAAGCAACCTATTGTTAATAGTGTTGCTCACGGTTCGCCCCATTTCCTTAGAAGGCTATATTATTAATTTGAAGCCCATTAATATTGAGTCGAGCCTTGTTTGGTCCACAAATTAACCCTAACCTAACTTACCTTTTTTGGATATTTACTTGGCTTATATTCCCGTCTCTCTCTCGGCCTCCAAAGCATTATGCCCAATTTCTCTTTGTGAGTCTTACCTCTCGATTTCTTCATCACTTCACTGTGACCTTTGTGGTTAATCCTTAGTGGGCATATCATTGGACTTCATCTTCTCAACCTATAGCAACCGGAAGTGGGGCGGCCTTGGTGGTGGTCTTGGAGTTGTCTCAACCTTGATGGTGTCGATGAAATAGGTGAAACTGAGCCCGGTTTGAACTTGGTGTTTGCTGGAAATCATTCCTACAGTTGCCTGTCAATAAATTCATTGTTTCTTATAATCAAGTAGACTAATTTCATTTGTATGAATTGCCCAAATGTAATGCTGATCTTTCTGCCATTTAAACACATCAGTAATTTTCATAGCGAACTCCAACAGACTGACATGGTTTTTATAAATCCCAACGTTTGCCATACTCTTTGATATGCTACAATCTCATCATGTTCGAAAAAAAATTTCTAATTATTTTGGGTCCCCAAAATCAACCAAGAAACTGCAGTAGCAGGCCTGGAGCCTACTGAGACTAAGGAAATTCCGTTCTGATGAAATCTTGTTTCCAAGTAGGAAACATTAGAAGAAAGTAAGTTTTCATTTGAAAACTTTCGTGTTCCTTCTTTTTTTCTAGCTACTTCTGTTATTAAACTCGAACAATTCAATGTTGAAGGAAAATTTTGGACAGAATTTGGTATGTACTGAATCTTGCACTCAAGAAAAGGGGAAGACTATCAAAGTGGGAGATCCCATTTATGTTGTCAAAGTAGTGTTGTCGCCAGCTGATGCAACAGCTTGAACTCTTTTACTCCTCGGAATTGTGAATCTTTGCTGTAATATTTTTCTTTTTTACTTTTTGGGGAATGATTTTTTGCTGTTTGATGGTAGGGATGGCAATTTACCCGCGCTGTCCCAAACGGGTTGGCGGGCCCACCGGGGCAAGGAGTGTCGCCCCACCCCCGAACCCGCCCCGTGAAGAAAAAGTTAAAAAAAAAAGAAAAAGAAATTTAAAAATAATTTTATTTCTAGAAAATTTATCCGTTAAAAACTCATTTTAAATTTGTATTTTATTCTCTAATAATAACATAATTCGAAACTTTCAAAATATAAAAAAAAAATAAAAAAATAAAGCCAAACG